CTTCATGTGCCTTTAAGATAATTTTCCTGCCATTATTTTTTATACATACTCAATGGAGATCGAGTCAGGACATGTAATTTTCATTCCTCAGTTCCTAACAATCCTGTGACAGTTGCCATAATAAAAATTATTTCCCAGTGGTACCAGAGATGTTACATTAGGTTTTGGAAGCATATTAAAGTCCCAATATGAAAAATAATGTATTACTATGCAGTGTCTTCCTAAAATGTAATTCCAGATTAAATTTCTCAAATGTCAGTATACCTATACAGAAAATTGACAACACTTTAAGCTTCCTGACTTGTTGAAGGGTCTATCCAAACCCCAATGCCAAACCATTCTCTATTCCAGTTTCTCTTCATAACCATTATTAAATCATTTAGCTAACTCATTATGTCCTACTTTCTCTACTTTTAAATTATACATAATGACTATATCTGTTGCTTATTTGCTATATGTCATATATCTCCTTGTGAATTTCATGGTATATTCTGTTATAAAATAAATATCCACCCAATTTTCCCTTCCATTAAGTCAAGATTTAAAATAGATTTTTCAAATCTGAATATACCTGCATTTTGAATTTCTTAGAGTAAGTTAACATAAAAGCTGTTATTGAAATTCTTGAGAGGATTTTAATCACTACAGACACATACGATGCATTTTATGAATGACATTAAATAAAGGAAATATTCTTTCCTTTCCTTTAAGCCCTTGTCTTAAACTTTCTAATGTGATTAATGTGGTATATATCTCAGGGTTTTTATTCCAATGGCTGGAGTAAGGGAGCAATGGAGGGAGAGTGGGGAAAGCTAAAAAGCATAATAAAGCAAAGAAATTCCCACTTTCCATGGAAATATTTCCTACAAGGGCAAAGAGGCTAAGAAATACTAAACATCCCCACTGGATATGAGAAGCAAGAGTTTGCTCTTAAATTGACTTCAGAGTAGAGATGCCAAAGGAAATAAATCACTGCAAGTAACATACTTTGAAAGATAAATGGGTCTTAAAAATATTTGTGTAAGTTTAATTTTCTAATCGGAGGTATTCATTACTGCCATATACTATAAGGGCACATGTCCATCAGGATCTGGAAATCTCCTCCAGGTATATGATTCATTATATTTAGACCAAGGCCTAGCACGGTAGACACCCTCAACAAAAATTACTGAATGAAGAAAAATAAGCCAAACTTTAAACACGTAAGGCTTCACCTACACCAAACCTGTTTTCATTTGAGTAAGAAGTAAAGACTCCAAAGTCCTTAGATTCCTTCAATCTGTACACATTTTTCATCAATAAGAATTCCGGAATGATAAGCAAACTTGAATGCCTATCTGACATACTACTCAAGCCATTAGTAGAATAAAACGCAGAACAAACTTCTGTTTCCTAGCATCGCCTGCCCCTAGCCAATTTCATCCTCGAAGACACTGTTTCACTTTGTATTATCATCATGGTGTGATTTACAACCCTCAAGCCATCTATAAAGAATTTTGAGAGAAGAACAGCACTTCTACAGGTTACATAGCCTCTATAGCAGCTCCATTCTTTTTTTTTTCCTTTACGGGAATCTTTTGTAACTGAAGTAAAAAGACTTCAGTCATGTATCTGACCAGTGTGGGGTGAGAAGAGTCACATTTATGGATAGGTAGCAAATAATCTATTTGTCTTCCTAGAATTCCACTCGCTTAAATCACTGATCATAGGTCACCAAGGACCTCTTCAGTCTGATTAAGTTTTGCAATGATGAATATGCTAATTACCCTGAATAGATCATCATACGTTATATGCATGTTTTGAAATATAACTCTGTACCCTATAAATATGTACAATCAATATGTTTCGATAAAATTTTTTTTTAAATAAATAAAACCAGAAGTTCATTGAATATTCAAGTCACCCAGGCATTGGTCAACAAGGGTCACCTAAGAGGATCTACCTGTATACTTAGGTTCTATTATAGAAATGACAATCCCCAAATCCTAAATTAATGGGATAGTAGCCCTTATAAAAGGAAGCGATTACCATATGTTAAGAGGCAACCAGAAGGGAAAGTAAAGCAGGTTAACCTGGGGTGGGGGGGGAGGTGCCTCAGTCAGCTTGGATTCAACTCACATTCCAGAAAGGGGTTTGGCTCTGCCTCTGCCCCATGGGTTAAGCTGTACTGCTTTGGCCTGGTGGATCTCCTGAACAGGGCAAGCTTTTCAGTATTCCCTGCAGGATATACCAGACCAGAGTCACTCCACTCCTTAGGGAAAATGATCCTAATGAGGCCCCTCTCCTCCAAGTTCATTTTTATAAACCTTCAGAGAGATTCAGAAAGTGCTGGACTAATCTAATACCACTGAGATTGCTAAATAGTAACTTGGCTGAGACCAGAGAAAGGTGAGATGGCCAAATTGATATCTCCTTCAGTGTTCAAAACTGGTCTGGGAAATGTAACCAGTCAAATATGACTGTTCTGCAAGACAAGAGGTGAAACAGAGCCATTTCTACTCTGAAGACTGTCAATCCCAGCAATTGCTTCTCTAATAGCTAATAAAAAGAGCTAACTAACTCACTGAATGCCTACCATTAGCCAGCTCTATTCTAAGTGCTCAACATGTATTAATTTATTTAGTCCTCAGGACAACCCTCAGAGGTAGGAATTATTATCATCATTCTGGTTTCATCAATAAAGAAATGGAAACCTAGAGAGATTAAGTAAGTTGTACAAAGTTACTCAGCAAATAATGGCTGAGCTGGGGCTCCACATCATGGGCAGTGTTTACACATCTGCTTTCCTGTCTTTCCCCTTCCCTGAAAGCTTGGAAGAGTGCCCTGTGACCAACCACAGACAGCATGGTGAGGACAAGCTTGGTGTCTGTGTGAGCCAGTGACATGTTGCCTGCAGCTCTGGCCCAGCTGGGATGGGAGTCATTCCTGGCCTGGCTTCTCAGAGATCCTCCTCACTAGTCTCTGGACATCTCTACCTAGCTGCTCTGCTCTACATAGATCCTCTCTTGAGAAGAAATTTTAAATCACAGATATCATTAAGGCTACACACTATGAGCAAACTTCAAATAAATCCTAGATGATCATAAGGCAAACCAGAATGAACAGAGACCTGGCTGTATACCTACATAGATCCTCTCTTGAGAAGAAATTTTAAATCACAGATATCATTAAGGCTACACACTACGAGCAAACTTCAAATAAATCCTAGATGATCATAAGGCAAACCAGAATGAACAGAGACCTGGCTGTATATAATGCTCTTTGTGCCGCACCCAGGGAATTCCCGGGGCAATTAGGAATATCATGTCCCATAGGAGTGGTAGTTCAGGAAATTTCAGAGTTGCAGGATTTGTATGTTCATGCCTTAAACATGGAAACAAGCTTTTTCCCCATCTAATTTGCTTCTTTGGTACCGGGCTCTTCAAAGTTAAAATAAAGAACAGATAGGAAAAAGTATGCAAATGATATTCAGATGCACTGAATGAGTTTCATTCCTTCTTTTCTTCATTTGCCTTGCCTAAAAGGACAGACATTTTTTTCCTTGAATATGTTGACAGTCACTAAGGTGACTAAAATACCCAGTATATCTTAGTGTAAAGCTATTTTTAAAATCACTTGATTTAGAAAACTCCAATCATGATAATTTCACGGGAATTCTTAGTACACAAATTAAAAGTTTTAAATTACTCTGAGGATTTGTGAATTCAAATAATCTTAATTAGAAAATACCTGCATCGATGCATATTTATTAGGTGTCTTTAACATCTGTCCCTGATACAAAGTTACTCTGAGGGCTGTTTTATGAGTTATAATTCTTGTTGTCAGCAATAGGAGAAATGATGCAACATGAGACTAGTAGTTAGAAGTGTGGATTCTAGTCTTTTGGACTCTGCCACATTCAATCTGTGGGCTTGAGAATGTCATTTAACTTCTCTTCGCTATGTCTCCTCATGTCTAAAGAGAAATAACAGTTCCTACTTCAAAGCGTTGTTTCCTGGGTCTAACGAAATGAGGCACGTGAAAGAGTTTGGTAAGCCACAAGGCACTGTAATACTTAACATAATATTAATATTACAAGCCAAAAGTAGTGGCACCGTGGCTCAATGAAGAAAATGTAGACATAGTCTGACATAAAAAGGAATCAACCTGGCTGAATGCTTTGCCAGCTCATGATCCTGGGGAGTCTGGCCTAAGTTCTCTCATTTGAGATATAAGAATGTTAAAAGCTATCCCATAAAGATGATGAAAGGATGCAGGGCAGGCACACAGTAGGTGCTCAATAAACGGCATCCATTTTACATAAAAGAACTCATTCAATTAAGCCAAGTATACTACATATTTCAACACTCACTCACAACAGCTGAGCAGTGTTCTGCTTAGAACAGTACATCCATTAGCAGAGTCCCAAATATACTTCTGCCACGGCCAGCGCCCTGGGTTTATCCCACTTTAGAGTCCAGTGGATTAAGGCTGTGCTTGCTGTATTGGCATTTTCTGCCTTAGCCCATTATTTCATAAAACTTACTAATGGAACCTCATTTTAAACAATAAAATTAATACTATCCAGTGTGGCAACTCCAAGTACAGGCAAAAGCTGCACTAGATGAACTTCCTTCACTTTTTGCTATCGATTTAGGGACAGGGGTGGCATCCGGGTTGCAGGATAAGAAAAAGCCAATGTGAATCTGCTGTTGTTACCGAGGCTGTTCAATGTCACCTAAATAAGCAACCTTTGAGATCGCCTCCCCAGCTCCCAGCGTCCGAGTCAGGGCCCTTGGAGGCGTTCGGAGCAACAAGCAGGAGAGGAGCACGCGTCCTACCGCGTCCAGCCTCGCCCCCGGGGAGGACCGAGTGTGCCAGGCAGCAGGCACCAAGCAGAGCGCGAGTTAGGGGAGTGGAGCTGGGAAGGGCGCATGCAGTTGGGTTAGTCTCAAGTCGACCATGCGGCTTTGCATTCCTGTTTGGCAACCGCGCTTAGGCAAAACAGGCTTGATGCTTACAATGATCCCAGCCCAAAATGGAGTGTCTCTGACTAGCAGGGAGGAGCTGATGCTCGCCATGAGGAAGCCCACCACGGTCACGGCGATGCCCAGGGCCAGCTGCAGCAGGGCGAGCAGCAGCGGGAACCGGCAGCCGCAGCACGTCCGGGCCTCCTCCTCCCCGCGCTCCTTGGGGGCCCCCTTGCCCTTCTTCGGCCCCATGTCGTCGGGCCCGGCGGCGTCGGCGGCCGGCGGCCCCCCCTGCCTTTGCGGCCCACGGGGCTTCTTGTCCTTCCCCATGGCGGCTGCGAGGGTGGGTGCGCGGGTGGGCAGGTGGGTGCGCGGGCGGCGCCCGGGGCCCTGGAGCGCGGCGCGGGGCGGGCCGCGCCTGCCCTGCTATTCGAATTACG